AAATATCATCATAAAAAGTTCATACTGTTTTAAGTAATCTAGTCTTAACTTCTAATTCAAATACCTTTACAAATTGCATGTCTATAGTGCAAAATTCAACTTATGTACTATTTCTAAAGATCAAGAATTTTTTCTTGGTTCTCCAGGTGACTAAATTTACCCATACATAGGAACAATAACCAGACTTTATCTCCGGTTTGTGACAGATTCCGCCCAATCTGCATCACTGTAAATTTCTGTTTCTCGTCTGGGACCATTCTTGAAGAATAAAACCTTGTTAGGTGTTATATTCAAGCATCTCATAATCCTATTAACAACCTCCATATGTTCTTGTGGATCATTCATGAACTGACTTCAATGCTAACTTGATGTGTGTATGGGATGAGTTTGCCTACTAATCTTTGATATTGACCTTTATCAATCGGAGTACCTTTTCTAGATATTCCTAACTTGTTGGTGGTTTCCATAGGGGTGTCAGCTTGTTTACATTCTAGGATCTCACACTCAGTAAGCAAATCTATGATATATTTTCTTTGGGACATATAGATGTCTTCACGTAATCTTGCCACGTCCATTGCTATAAAGTATATAGGGTTTCTTAGATCTTTAATTTCGAATTCTTTAGTTAGAGTTTTCTTCATCTTATGTGAAGTCACCATTGACATCTATATTGTTAACATACACTATTAGAATAGATAATTTACCGTTGTGTGATTCCTTTACAAACAATGTACAACTTGACATTGAGAATATCCATGTTGTTTCACCATTGTGAATCTCTCGAACTAAACTTTTGGGGATTGTTTAAGACCACACAATGACCTTTTTAACTTGCAAACCTGATGTTTCATATATGGAGTTTCAAATTTAGGAGAGATCTTTTATATACTTCTTCAACTAGTTCTTTATCCAAGAATACATTCTTCACATCTAGCTGGAATAGAGGTCAATCCGAATTTACAGCTAATGGCAGGAGAGCACGAATGATGTGTAGCTTAGCCATTGGTGCAAATGTCGCTTGGTAGTTTTAAGAACTAGGGAAATGAATATTGAATATTTACTCATGTTTTATTGAAATAAAAGTAGATATATATATATATATACATGTAGACGAATTCATATATGGTAACCAACATAAATTATCCTAATAATTTTATTTTTAATTACATTTACATATTTAGAAAAATAATCATATTATTATGTATAGGATATATTCTATAATATTTTAACACTCCCCCTCAAGTTGAAATATAAATATTAATCATGTCCATCTTGTTCTTAAAATACTGAGTTTGTGTTCCATTTAGAGACTTTGTGAATATATTACCAAGTTGTTCTCGTATCTTCACATAACCAGTAAATATAAAGTTTTCCTAAATTTTCTATTGGATGAAGTGACAATCAATCTCGACATATTTGGTTCTCTTATGATACATAGGATTTGAGGCAATATGCAGGACAACCTGATTATCGTACCAAAATTTTGCAGGAGATGTGAATTTAAATCCATTTCATATGAAAGATGATGTATCCATAACACTTCTCATGTGGATTGGGTCATAACTCTATATTTAGACTCTGCTCTTGAGGGAGATATAATTGTTTGCTTCTTACTTTTTCATGATACGAGATTTCTACTAACAAAAATATAATAGTCCGTAGTAGACCTCTTATCAATCTTACATCCAGCCTAATCAGTATCTGTAAAATATTCAATGTCAGTATGTCTGTGATTTTTAAACATTATGCCGACTCCCGAGGCACCTGTTAAGTAGCATAGAATTTGTTCTAGAACCTCTCTATGTTTAACTGTAGGTACAGACATAAATTGACTTGCAATACTGACAGAATATGCAATATCTGGACGAGTCACAGTGAGCTAATTTAGTTTTCCAATTACTCGTCTGTATTTTTCTGGATCATCAAGACAATAACCATCATCTTTTGTAACATGTACATTAGGTACTATAGGCGTATTACATAACTTAACTCCTAGCTTTCCTGTTTTTACAAGTAGATCAAGTACATACTATAAGATAATAAAATTCCTTC